TCAGTGGATAGAACTCTTCTGGTTTGGGCCTTCCGGCATATCACATCTGCCACATCAACTCTGCCCACCTTCCCACTCCAGTTCAAAAGATGGGAGACCGGGAATTATTTCTCCCCTACAAAGAAATAATGGAAGGGTGACAGGGAGGATGAGGGACATGATGTCCCTGGAATGGGGGACGACAAAGCAGGACAATGGAATGTTAGAAGTGGGACGAGAGCACAGAGCATCTAACACAGGGAAAGTAGGCAACAATGATATGAGGCCGGGGACATGGAGAGCAGAGCCCTGACATATATTGGAGAATGAAGGACCTTTATGTGAGAAAAGAGGAATGGAGGGAGAAGAGGTTAATGGGGTTGCAGAAATCCCTTTATGTAAGGGTGGGGTAGCAGCAAGACCCTGTGTGAATAGGAGGTTGGGAAAGTAGTACAAAGGAAGTCTGGGAGTGGAGGAATGGATCCAAGGATCCTCTGGAATGCAGCAAGATTACTCTTCAGAAACAACAAAGTGTGTGACCCTCTAACATGTATATTAAGTTTATAAAACCATAAATGGTGCTGGTCTTAGATTGCTTTGACCTTTTATTAAAAATGCAGCCAATTAAAAAAATCCAGATATACCTCTTCTCAAAAATCTAACAGTACCGAGGGGTACAGTACAGGTCACATAACTAAATTCTGTTTTCCTCTCCAACTATGTATCAAGCAATCTACTTAGCTCATGATTACACATCGTCCCTGTTTAATATTTTGAAATGTATGACAAAGACAAGAGAGAAGTTCAAGAATTATTTTATTCATCAGTCATACTAGGTAAAACCCAAAGTAGAACTGCTAAATATGAAAAAAATCCAGTCACTTCCTGTCATCAATAGGACACATACATTTTCCAGCCACAGACTATATTTATAGTGTAGCCTTTTCAGTTGTCAATGCTTTTGAATTACTTTCTTAATTTTGTTTTTTGTCATTTTGAAGATCAGCTGCTATGGTGAAAATCATTTGCACCATCATACAATGTTCTTGTGGTGTATTTACATTTTAGAACAGCTTGTGCACAGCACAAATCAATGCAAACTGTTTTCTCAGTACATTCACTGAAGAATATGCACCTAAAGACTGCACTGTTCTGCACATATTTGTCTTTAAATTCTAATACATTATAGATATATAAAAATTTATATAAATTTCCCTTACACCTGTATAATGCCTTTACTGATGGTAAAGATGTAAACCAGGGGTGGCCAACCCGCGGCTTCTGAGCCGCATGCGGCTCTTCAAAGGAAAAATTGCGGCTCCCACACCCGCGGCTATTCCACATTTCCCTGCTCTGACCTTTTTTCCTTGTCTGATCACAGCGCTGTGGGGCAGCGAGATCTGATGCTGCGGCTGATGGAAGCCTGCATGGGCCACATGCGGCCCTTAAAGGGGCAGCGGTTTTTTTTTTGTTTGGTTGGTTTTTTTGCTCAACAACTTCTTTTCATCTGCTCTTTGTGCTGTATCCACCACTATTTTGGCTATTTGTAACGGGTTGGCCACCCCGATGTAAGCTGTTTATAACACTGAAACAATAGAGTAATTATTTGAAAATCGAACTCCAATATCTGAATTAATAAGCCTGAAAACAGACCAAACTGTAAAAATTACTTGATTGAGATTGCTTCTTACACGTTATCATAGCTTAAAGATTTCTGATAATTTAAATTGTAAAGAAGCTTAGATAATCTATCCAATCATTTACAGCTGTGGGTGGCTGTAAAACCCAAACACATTTCAGTTCATATGATTTTCCTCTTTAAAGCTACTATACATAAATGAAAACAAAACAAAATCCCAGTGAAGGAGTGCAAATAAATTCTAATCACTTGCCAATCTGACAAACGTGTTTCTGCCACTAGGGATGTTAAATATCAGTTAATTGAATAGTTGATTAACCTCCTGAATTCTTATTGGTTAGTTGACTATTGTATAGTCCCAAAGGGTGGGGCTGGCAGCCAGTACACTCCGGCTCCTGAGGAGCTCCCTGCTACCTTGTGCTGCTGTGTCTCTCTGAGGCAGCAGCACGGGGTGCCAGGCTGGAGCTGGTCTGTGATAAGGATGTTAAATGGCGAATAACTGACTAATCGAATAGTCAATGTGTTTTGCATCGATTAGTCGATAGGGCGCCTTCGCAGTGTAGCAACAGCCCTGTACCTGTTGCTACACTTCAAAGGCGAAAGTGCCCCATGGATCCCAGCGTCAGCTGGAGACTCTGGCTGACCCTGAGCTCTCTGCAGGGTTTCCAAACGGCAACATTGCACAGAATCCAGGATCAGCTGGGGACTCCCCTGCTGACCTTGAGCTGCATGCAGTGTTTCAAAGCCGGGGTCCCCAGCTGATCCTGAGCTCCATGCGGAGCTGCCACTTCAAAATGCCACTAGTGGCCTGAGGACACCCCAGCTGGCCCCAGGCTGCAGACAGCATTCAAAGTGACAGCACCGCATGGAGCCTGGGTTTGGCTCCAGGCTCCACTCGGCACTGTCGCTTTGAAGTACCCCTTCTTCCTCCCCCTTCCCCACTGCCTCTTTCTGATAGAGGCCAAGGGGAGAAGGAGCGACTAGTCCTTCACATCCCACAAGGAGAGACAGTTTTAAAACTAGCCCCCCACACAGACTGGCTGCCTGCCACCCCACACTGCAGTCTCTTATTCAGAGGCAGCAGCACGGGGTGGCAACAGCAACTGTCCGGGGTGGGAGGTCTGAGCTCCCAGACTCAGTGCAAGCCAGGACTGAGGCGGGCTGCCTGCCCATCCACCCAGCTCCTAATACACTTTAAATGCAGAGCTGCATCAGGGTAGGTCCCATACGCAGAGCAAACTGGGACTGAGCCAGGCTGTTGGACAGCCTCCTTAAAAATGTACTGGCAAAGGGGGAATGCATGTATTCTACAGTATTAACCTACAAGCTTTACTTATTGGTTAATCCAGGGGTTCTCAAACTTTGTGATACTGCAACTCCCCTCTAAGTTGCTCGCGACCTACCTCTAAGTTGCTCGTGACCCCCCGGGAGGGGGTGTCAGGACCCCCAGTTTGAGAAACATGGGGTTAATCAATTACTTGATCATACTATTACATCCTTATCTACCACATTTTCTGAAAGCAAGGAAACTGACAATTTTCCATTTTCTACAGTATGGCCCTCAAAACTTCCTTTCTAAATAGCCAAAAAACTATGCACAGTGCTGGCCCAAGGTAATCTTCAAAGCACTCAAAATTTACAGAGGAACCTCTGCTCGTCCAAAGATCTGCTGCAGATTTCCCTGAAGAGATTTGTCTTTCTATTATGGATAGCATGACAGTTTAAATTTCCTAGCAATCCATTGGCCTTTCCCTATGCAAACAGTAACAACGAAACCTGCAAACATAGGATGTACCTTGCCCTTTCAGGGATATACAGCATGAGGGGCACAAAAAGGAAAGGCTCAAACAGGAGGGTCACCTCCCACATCAGTAGGAGGCAATAAAAAAATCGGTGGCCTACAAGGGTTAGTCCCTGATGGGCTGCTGCTGCTGCTATGTTTACCTCTACCTCTACAGGTACAGGGCAATCATAGCTCTCATTGGCCACAGATACCTAAACAGGTGGGTGCTTTTGTGTCTTACTTGCAAAACCGTTTTCCTTTGTCAATTAAAAGCAAACTACGTAGGTTTACAAAGCCCACAATGGTTCAGAAGTTCTTGTGAAAGTCCATTTTTGACACTGGAAAATCATGAAGCAGAAACAGAACGTTTAGTGACTTACTGAATATCTTGGTAGAACTAGAGATGAACTTGAGCTGCTAAATTCAGAGCAGGTTTCAAGTGTTCCCAAAGTTTGGGGCATTTGGTTTTTATAACTAGACAAATTTGTTGCCTGAGTCTCCACTTCATTAATAATTTTATCTGATCCCTTCAGCAGAAAGTTATTTAGGCAGTTTCGCCCCACACACAGGCAGCAGATACAGAGGCAGCAGCACAGGTGGGGGATGGAAGGGGACATAGGAAACAGGCGGCTCCTGAGGAGCCATCTCCCTGGTGTATAAATGTGTAAATGCTGAAGATTTCAGCGACTGCACATTTACCTAAATACATTCATTTGAACATTCCTAACACAGGCTACTTAATTTTTTAAAAATGTTACTACGTAAATATAGGATGGAGTAAGATGGCAAATATGTCTTATGTAATGATTAATTTTATTTCAGCATGGTGATTAGGTGGCAGTACTAATACAGATTTTATGTCAGCTATTTTACCCAGTCTGCAATCAGTGCATATTTAATATTTGTTTTCCTTCTCTCTGATGCTGTATTATCTCCAGAATATCTTGATTTATGGACGTTGCACCAGTTTACTCTTACTTGCTTCCTGCTCACTAAGTTTGAAATGGGTATAAGCTAAAATGCCTAACAAAGTACATAGAATCCCAAAGACTTGATTAAGTGTCAGTGGATCTTTAAACAACAGGTACCCTCCCAAAAGAGTGATGCAGAACTTGAAGTGTCCAAACATATTATACCTACATATCTCTGTTAAGGAGCATAACAAAACGTAAAATATAAAAAACAAATAGTTAATCTCTTAAGTGTTCATATCTCTAACTCCAAAACGAGCTAGTTTTTCACAATTTCTATTCACATAACTTGTGCAATTAAAATTAACGACTTGAATTTATGGAACACCTTTTGTGGAATATGGTTTAAAATAAACTGACACTTGCTATACAAGCAAATCACTTCACACTTTTTCTATAGTCACAAAATAGTGTGTAAATGTTTTAGTATTGTTCTAATAGACATAAAGTATAAAATTAAACAGAACATCTGTACAAAATGTAAGAAAGAACAATGAGAGACTGAATTGTGCTTTTTCAGTTTTAAGATTTACAGTAAAGCAGGTGAATTACCAGCCTATTTCTCCAGCTTTTTTCATTGTGAAATATACCTGACTGAATATTGCCATTCATCTGAAAACAAGGAGACTGGCCAATAATAAAAAGGATACGTGACAGGTGATGTGTTTCCAATAATCCAGTAAATGGATAAGTTTACCATAAAGGCTATTATACCAGACAGCAGCACCATTAGCTGTAGATTAATGGACACAGTCAGTAATCTAATATATTTCTACCACCTCTAGTTACATCCCCAAATTGTCAAATGCAAATCAGTAAAATATCAAACAAGAGATGAGAGAAAACTAAGAACAACAACAAAAAATGCAAATGTGAGTTCTAATTTTACACAGATACTGGTGATTTAAGTATTTCAGAACATGCAAAAGGTAAATTTTGCTACAAAATTTCACCTTCACTTGCTGTGTCTAAGATAATGGCCCCAGAAATTAAACTGCTCACTCACAAAAAAGGGTGTTCCACAAACCTAATTAAAAGATCATAGCTTTTAGATGCAAAACTCCATGAAGATTATGGAAGGAATTATTTATTAAATATCTGCCCCATTTGTTCTAATTGTTCATTATTCCAGTCACTGATTTCAGTACCAATAGTAGAGAGAGAACTTGCATCAGTCACTGGCTGGCATATCTCTAACTAGGTAACAGGTACTTTCTAAATTAAAGGTACCTCCAAGCCTTACATGATGGTATTTAATCAATGAGATATATTTGAGCCCTTGTCCTCTTAGGGACATCACGAAGATGAAGAAGGAGACTAAGTCCTCCCAGTAACTGATGCCTGCACTCCTCCCCACGGAAGTGAAGTCAGAAAGAGGTGAGAGCATTTGTATCTTTTCCCCAGTGGAAGAGGACTGCTGGATCTAGGGGCATTTAAATATTTTTACTTTAAAAAGCTAGGACAAGCTTCTGGATTTCATAAGAGCTCTGGGTAGGTGTAGGAACAAAAAGGTTCATTTCTTTTGTTTATTAGGATCTTTTTCATATCAATTTATTTTTAGCTTTTTTGCAATGTGCTTTAAAAATAAACTGACACTTGTTATACAAAGCAAATCACTTCACACTTATTGCAAAAAGAAAAACAGTCCAACTCTAGAGGAATGGTTCACAAAATATGGTAGAATCGTGTGTTAATATTCCCATGACAATTATGTACCCAGCAAAATACACAGAATGCAAATAGACACTTAGATATTTGGTCAGCATTTACTTTATAATCAAAACACATTTGCCTGAAAATAACCAGCACAACTGTCTTTCACTGAATAAAATCACTGGAAACGACATGTCTCAGAGAGGTAGCTGTATTAATCTGAATCTGCAAAAACAGCAAGGAGTCCTGTGCACCTTAAAGATTTAGATTTATTGGGGCATAAGCTTTTGCCCCAAAAAATGTGTTAGTCTTTAAGGTGCCACAGAACACCTTGTTTTCGGAAATGACATGTACAGAAAAACTCCAGTTGTCCAGCATCCAGTGGTCCGGCACTCCTGATAATCCGGCACCACCTGGAACCTGGAAGTGCTCCAGGCAGCCAGACAATTGGAGCTGCTCTGCCCAGGGCTTCTCCGAGTCAGCCTCTGGGCAGTTTCAGCCG